CATGTCTTCTAATGCTTCAGGGGACCAGCCAGAGCGTATCTCACTCTCGCTTGCTCCTAGACCCAATGCACGCCTCCCAGGACACCCCATTCCCAGAGCCATCCTCCTGGGCACCCCTGACTCAGGCCCCCCAGCCTCCACACACCCCTATCTCCAGGTCTGCTGTTCACAGCCCCCTAACACCCCTCCCAAACTCACAGGGTTCCCTTTGGGTCCATCATCGCCTGTGGGGCCCTTAGGCCCTGGTGGCCCCGCCTCTCCGGGCTGCCCCGACTCTCCTTTCTCCCCACGCTCCCCGCGTGGACCCTGGAAATGAGTGGAGGTCACAGACAGTCCCAAGGGAGTGCCAGAGACCAGGGATTCAGCTTCTGGTTCCAAGACCTCCCAACCACCCCCATGACAATGGGGCACTCGTAGAGGGTCGGGCCTACCCTTCAAGGAAAGGGTGTCGGGGCTCACTCAGACCCAGAGCTGTGGCCCGCAGAGGAGGGCGGGGAGCAGAGGCCCCTGGGATGCAGAGTTCAGTTCAAGGAGGTCAAGGAAAGTGGGGGTGCAGTCAAGGGGGTTGAAGGGGGTTGGGAGTGGGGCCTCAGAGCCATCACTCACCTTGACACCTGGTTCGCCCTGGACCCCTGGAGACCCTGACTCTCCTGGCTCCCCCTGCAGAGAGATTGGGGGTTTACACCTCCTTCCCCTTCCCCCAAAGCCATCCTGATATGCCCGTATCTCATTCTCTGTTGTCTTCCCTACCAGACTTGGCAGAAGCCCACCCTCACCCCACCCTCGAGACTGGTCCATTTGCCCCCTTCCCAGTTACCTTCTCTCCAGGGGGACCCAGGTTTCCGACACCTCCTGAGGGGCCTTGAGGGCCCTGGAAGAGGAACAGAAATAGGGATCACCTTAGGGGACCCCTTAGAGGTGCCATTCCCAGGGCAGAGCCCACATGATGGCCCGGAGGTCACAACAGTGACACAGCAGGAGGCCTCCCCAGGGGGGACGCCAGAGCATATGGTCTGGGGAAGCGGGGGCAGGGGACTGGCCACACTGGTTTGAGGGAACGAGGACTGAGATGACTCACATCAGCACCATTGGGTCCAGCTGGGCCTCGAGGTCCTGGGGGGCCAGGTGGTCCCTGGGGGGAAAAGATACCAGAGATCCCAAGCCAGGGAAGGGGGAGAAAGGGTGCAGCGGACAGGCAGGGATGGGGCCCTGGGTGATGGGGTGCTGGGCAAGGAGGAGGGCCGCAGGCCAGGGAGTGTGCAGGGGATGGGCAGGGCCGCAGGGTGAGGGGTGCCGGGCTGGGCCCACAGGGTCACACTCACCATAGGCCCCACGTCTCCTGTTTCTCCCTTCTCCCCGGAGGGGCCCGGCAGACCCTGTGCAAGCATTCACAGACGCGGGTGACCAACTGCCCCGAGCGTGGCCCTCGGCCCACAGCGCCCGCCCCTCGGATCCCACGCGCCTCATCAGGGCTGCTGCAGGGTCAGGGCAGACACCGGCCCCATCGTGACCTCTCCTCTTGCCGCTCTCCCTACCCCCGGGTCACCTGCAGGCCGATGGGTCCTGGGGGCCCATTGAATCCCCTTGTTCCTTCGTCGCCTTTGGCTCCAAAGTGTCCTTGGGGTCCCCGAGCTCCAGGCTCCCCATCTGCTCCCTGGGGGGATTGGGCAGAGGCAGAGACAGAGACAGGCATGGGCCCGGTGCTCTTGATCCACATCCCCACACCAGGCTGGGCACCAGGCCCAGAGCCCACCCCCACCCACAAGGCCAGAGGGGAGCTGAGGGCAACCTGGAGGCTGCCAGGGCCTTGGCTGGGGTGGGGGGCCACTCACCGCTGCTCCAGGCTGCCCCACAGGACCAATGGGCCCTGGGGGTCCAGGAGGGCCCTAGTGGAGAAAGAGGAGTCAGAAATACCCAGACAGGAGACAGGTTAAAGGCCAGGAGGTCAGAGGTCAAGGTCCTGGACACTCACGTGTTCGCCCTTGTTTCCTTTCGTGCCCTTCTGTCCGGGGTCTCCCACCTCGCCCTGGGTGGGGAAGGCCGGTGAGGAATTAGAGAAAGGAGGAGGGCTGGGAGGACAGGTCAGGCCCGGGGATCACGCCCACAGCAGAGATCTCACCTTGTCTCCATCCTCTCCGGCCACACCTGGAGGCCCAGCAGGACCCGGAAGCCCAACGGGGCCCTGCACCCCATCACGGCCAGTGGGACCAATGGGGCCCTTCTCACCCTGTGGGAAACGGAGGACAGCTGTGGCCTGGAGGTCACCCCCACTCTCAGACTCCCCCATGGGAAACCCTCCACAGCTCACCACCCCTAGCCCACAGCCCCTTCCCCGGGACCCCTCCCCAGGGCCCCACACTCACCGGGACACCTTTCTCTCCTGCAGCTCCAGGAGGCCCCTGCGGGCCTGGGCGCCCTGGGGGGCCAATGGGCCCACCTGATCCTGCCCCACCTCGCTCCCCAGGGGAGCCCTGAGACAAGAAATGGAGTCAGACCCCCAGGAAGAAGACCCCAGCCTGCCCGTTCCAGAGGACCCTGACCCCAGTTCCAGGGAGCCAAGGCTGCAACCAGAGCCACTGGCCAACCCCAGACTCCCTCTGCCCCGCCCACAGCCCCTGTCCAGGCCCAAGGCTCACCCACTCCCTCCCCAGTTCCTTCCCGCTGCCCAGGGACCCCAGACTCACTGCAGGCCCAGGGGGGCCAGCCGGACCCTCATTTCCTTTCAGACCAGGTCCACCCTGAGGAGCAGAGATTTGGGGCAGCAGTTGAGAGAGAAGGTGGGTGTCACAGGGACGGGGCTCCAGGAGGTGTGCAGGGACAGACGAGGGCTGGGCGGGGCGCCAGGCTCAGAGGGGTGGGAGTGGGGGTGACACGGGGTGTCAGGATGTGTGTGATGGCTTCAGGTGGTCAGGTGTGGGAGTCACACTCACCGCTGTGCCCGGGAGGCCCCTCTCTCCTGGGAAACCCCTCAGACCAGCAGGGCCATCCTTCCCTGGGGCCCCGGTGGGACCAGGGTCACCCTAAAAGGGAAGGAGAGGTGGTGAACCACAGCCATGCCCCCAAACTGAGCAGAGATCACTGCCCCAGTTCGAATTCCCAGTCACCCATCCCCATCAGCACCCCGCCCCCAGACTCCGAGTCTCCCGTCCCTCCCCACACACACACACCAGCCCCTCGCTGACCTTTGTCCCTTCTTTGCCAGCTGTCCCAGGCAGTCCCTGCTCTCCAGGAGGCCCTGGAGGGCCGGGGTGACCTCTCTCCCCCATGGGGCCGCTTTCTCCTGCAGCTCCCTAGGGAAAGCCAGGAGTCCCCACTTTCAGACCCCTCATCCTTCTGCTGCCAAACAGCCCACCTGGCCACCCTGAATTACCCTCCAGAGCCCTGTGACCCCACCCCGAAGCTACTGGCAAATTTCCGGGGGCTCTCCTGGGCCGGGGCTGGGTGCCCCTTCCCCAGCATGGGAACTCGTGTAGCTGTTGGGGAGCTGCCTCTTCTCACAGCAGCAAGGATGTGACAGCAGGCCCCAGAACAGACTGAACAGGACCCGCCCCAAATCTCACACAACACCCCTGCCCCCCACCCCGCCACTGACTCCTGCCACAGGGGTCCAGGTCAGAGGGGCAGACAGATGAGCCCAGGGTCTCCTGCCAGCACACCTACCTGAGGTCCCACCACTCCTGGGGGACCAGGGGGGCCGGTCTTCCCCTGGAAGCCCTGAGAGAGGAGAGAGGAGAGTGGTCAGAGCAGGCACGGTGCTGCGGGGCACCCCAGGATCCTGAGGTCAGGGCAGTCACCCCAGCCCTGGGCCCATCTGAACAGCACTGGGCATGCTCCCCTCTGCCAGAACTGCCCTGTGGGCCTCCAGGGGCCATGGGGAGAGGGTGGCCATCAGGGCAGTCACCCCAGCCCTGGGCCCGTCTGAACAGCACTGGGCATGCTCCCCTCTGCCAGAACTGCCTCCAGGGACCACGGAGAGGGGGTGGCCAGGGCATCACTCACCACTTCTCCTCTCTGGCCGGGGTGTCCTGGCAGCCCGTCCTTCCCAGGGGGGCCCTGGAAGAGGTTCAGGTGTCAGGCGAACCCTAGGCTGGGGAGGTGGCTGGGAAGAACTCAGAGAACTAGGTGGGTCGGAGGTCAGTGGTCAACTTACCGGGGGCCCTTTGGGGCCAGGAAATCCGTTGGGGCCCTGAGGTCCAGGGAGACCCTAGAGACAGAGGTGGGTTGAGTCAGGAGAAGGGAGACACGGTGTATGTGTTTGGGGTGGGGGGATGCTCCCCTCAGGTTCCCTGAGTGCACCAGGGACAGACCCGCAGACTCAGTCCACTCACCCTCTCTCCAGGAGGCCCATGGGGGCCATCACCACCAGACGTCCCCTGTGGGGGAAACAGAGTAAGGGGAGCTGCCTTCTCACTACCCCAAAGTCAGAGGGCACCAAGGGAGAGCCAGGGCTCAGAGGACACAGGGCAGACGGAGCCTGGCAGGGACCACTCACCTTAGCACCAGACTTCCCAGTGGCACCTCGGGGTCCCCGCTGACCACGTGGACCCTGCAGAGAAGGGAGAAGAGTCATCAGAAACCCCCAAATGCACCCCTTCAGGTCTTTGGCCTCCCATTTCGGTCAGTTGTGCACTCACCGTGGGGCCCCGTTCTCCCCGAGGTCCCGATTTCCCTGACAGGCCCTGGTGGGAATGAAGTAGAAAGAACATCACCCAGCGCAGGGCTCCCCACACAGGGCGTGGTCCCCCACAGAGCCCCCTCTGAGCCCCCACGCCCTCTCCCTGCCCCCCACTTACCCGGGCTCCCTTCTCTCCACTGGCTCCAGGAAAACCAGGAAATCCCAGGGACCCCTGGTGAGGATGGAGATGGGGAAATTGAGAAGTCGCAACCGGCAACCGACAGGGCTAAGGAAGGGCTAACAGGGGTCAGGAGAGGCCATGGGGACAGCGGCGAGGGAGACCTGGGCTCTGCCCATAACGAGGTGGCCCTGGACAAACCCTCTGGGCCCCTATTTTCTCATCCGCAGAATGGGGTCAACTAAATTCACAGGGGACAGGAGGAGGGGCACAGAAGGGGCATTACGTCACCTTGGGACCCTGGCGTCCGGGGTAACCAGGTAGACCAGGAACACCCAGCTTGCCCTGCAGAGAGACGGGGGCAGTTAGGTGCGAGGAGCCAGCAGTGCCTCTCCATGCCTGGGACCCTGCCCTGAGAGGGGAGACAGCCCCCCTCTCAGCAACGCTCCCCCCAAACTCGAGCACTGGCCCCTCCTCCCTTGCCCTCAGGCTGCCTGGCCTCTGTAGTCTGTCCTTCCTGGAGTGGCTTTTCCCAAGCTCTCAGGGGGGCCTTGCCTCCTAGGTCTGGAGACTACAGTCTGCAACTGCATCGAGTCCTTCAGGGTCCCTGTGTCAGCTGTGCCCACCTGCCAGCCTCAGTGCCACCCTTCCCAGCACCTAGTCCTGGTCCCCTGGGCCTCAGCCCCTTTGCTCATGCTCACCACCCCTCCCTCCTCGGGCTCCAGGACTGTGGGGCAGTAGTCGGGAATGGAGATTCTGCAGCTAGATTGCTTAGTCTTTTTTTTTTTTTTTTTTTGAGAGGTTTTTGCTATACGGCACATGTGCTCACCAGAAAGACAGACAGATAGAAAGCGAGAAATCACCCCCCAAGGGGGGATGGCCATGCTGCGATCCCTTCTCCTCCATTCTCCTCTTGGGATCTTGGGCACGCACGCACACGTGCCCGGCATGAGTTTAAGTCACTGGGTCCGGGACTCGAACCACAGTCAGCTACATGGGAGTCCAGCGACATAGCCATTACGCCAACTGCTGGTCCCTGGACTGCTTCATCTTGAACCCAGGCTCTGCCTATTGCTGCCATGGCACTGACACAGCTCAGCATCCTTGTGCCTCTGCAAAAAGCTCAGGGGCCAGCAGGTGGCGTAGTGGTTAAGGAGCTGGACTCCCACGTGGCCCACGAATGTTCAATTCCCAGACCTGGTGGCTTCAAAATCACACCAGGTTTGTGTGTGTGCTGCCTCAAATCCCGATAGAATGGAGGAGCAGGCATTGCAGGTGGCCATTTCCCTGGGGAGCGATTTCTCACTTTCTCTCTCTCTGCCTTTCTTTGTGGAGCATGTGTGCCCTATGGCAAAAACCCTTAAAAAAAAAAAAAAAAAGAATTCATGTGCAAAATGAAGTGGGAGGAGCCTGCACAGGCGAGTGCTCAGTGCCCGGGGTTTGAGCTGGCAGCCCCCCTCTGAACTCCTCCAGGCTGGCTCTGCACATGTCACTCCACCCCGCACCTCCAGTTACTTACTCCCCATGCTTTGTTGGTCTCCGCCAAACTCCTCACACCTCTATAGCCCCTCTCAGCCCATCAGGGGCAGGGGCTGCTGGTGTGTGCACAGAGGGGACCATAATTAGTGCACGCCGTCCTCAGCCAACTCCGTGACTCCGGCCACCCCGGCAGCCGGGCCGCCATCCCACCACATCCCCCTGATCCGGGCACAGACCCCGCATCGCCATCACCTTCTCGCCCATGAGCCCAGTGGGCCCAGGGTCTCCGGTGGGTCCAGTGCGTCCCTTCGGCCCCTCGGGGCCATCCTCTCCCCTGGATCCAGGGACTCCCACCTCGCCCTGAGTGAGAGGGTTGGAGGGGTGAGTGTTGGGGCCTGGAGGTCGGGGCTGGGCCCTGAGGGGACAAGTGGGGCTGCAGGGGCCCAGACGCTATGGCAGGGTAGGCAGCCCCACCGAGGCAGGGAGGGTTAGGGTTGGAAGGACAGTGAGACAGGTCATGGGTGTCATCCCCGGGTTCAGGCTCTAAAGGGAGCACAGCACTGGAGGTCTCGCGTGATTAGGCTGGCTCTTGGGGACTCCAAAGTGGAGGGTCATTAGGACGTGGAGTTGGGGACCAGTGTGGGGGTTTCTACTCACCCTGTCACCTTTCACACCTATGTCACCTTTGAACCCTGGAAAGCCATCCTCGCCCTGAGAAAGACGGAGATGAGAGGACACCTCAGATGGTGGAGGGCTGGCGGTTAAGCTGGAGGGTTCAGAGCTTGTGGGTGGAGGGTGGCTTTAGGAGCCAGAGGGCAATCTGGGGAGGCTGGAGGGACGGAAGTGAGGCCAAGAGGTGGGCAGGGCATGCAAGACAAGACGGGGGTGGCAGGAAGCTGGGCTCAGTGCTGACCTTTTCACCCTTATGGCCCTTGAGACCCCGAATTCCATCCACGCCCTAGGATTAAACGGAGAGACGGAGAGCCATGAGGAGTAGAGGCCGGGTTGGGAGGCCCGAGCTCCTAAGACCCAACTCACTCTCCTACCCACAGTCCTTCATCTCCCAGCCTGGTAATCGGTTACCTTGACACCTCGAGGTCCTGGGTACCCTAGGGGGCCCTGAGGCCCAGACGGACCCTGGAAATAGAACGAGGGGCGTTCAGAAGGCGGCCTCTGGGAGTGGGAGAGATGGAGGCAGCGGCACTGGGGTCTGGGTAGGGCTGCCAGACATGGGACTGAGAGCTCTGTCGGAGCTGTGGGAATGGCGAGATAGGGAAACCCTGAGGGTTCAGGGCTCCTTCAGGGAGTGAGGAGGTGTGGACATCTCACCTGGTTTCCTTTGGTTCCAGGGGGACCTTCCTTGCCAGGGTGACCCTGTAGGAAGGGGATGGAGAATGTGACTGCTGGCCCCTGTCACCTTCTCTGCATCCCTCCCTCACTTCACCTAAGCCCTAGATCCCTGTGACCTAATGAAGCCAACTGACCATGGATGGGTACCCCCCAGTGACCTTCCAGAGCAAGGGACTCCCGTATGGATGGCCCCTGCCAGGCCCTGGAGGTCATGCACTGGGGGAAGGCGAGGGGATCTCGCATTGAGAGGTGGGGACTCTGGGCCAGCCCATGGACTGCCGGTTGAAGGAGCCAGACCCCTCATGGCCGACCACGGTTCAAATGCCAGCCCCAGCATCTTGAAACACACTGGGAGCATGTGCACGGGTGCCCCAAATCTCCACAGGCTGGAGAAATGAAGCAGGGAGTGCATGCCCTGTTGAGGGGTGCTTGCTCCCTTTCCCTCTCTCTTAAAGATAAATAAAAGAGGCAGGGGCCCACTCACTGGGAGTCCGTCCGAGCCAGGCATACCGGGAAGCCCTGGTTTCCCTCGAGGGCCCTGCAGGAAGACAAGGAGGCTCAGGGTCGCTGACGAGACCAGGCCTGAACACGCTGCGGAAGTCCCAACAGACAGAGCCCTCCCCACCCCACCCAAGGCCCCCACCCCCAAATCATTTAGTCACTTACCTTCTCTCCATGAGGACCAATGGCACCCTGGGGCCCAGGGAGACCCTACACAGGGAGAGAATCACAGGGCCTCTCAGGGGTGGGCCTCTCTCCTCACCAGCCTCCCATTCAGACCATGAGCAAGGAAGCCCTGGGACCCTTCATTTCCAGTCTCCACCGGGGTCTGTGGAAGCTCAGGGGAAGTCACTAAAAATGCGCGGGGGAGGAGCAGGATGACTCACCTGGGTCCCAGGAGTGCCTTGTTGCCCAGGAGGTCCTGGCTCGCCCTGGGGTCCCTAGAGACAGGTGACCAGGCAGGAGTCAGAAGGAAATGGGGACAGAAAGACTCGGGACAGAGAACCGAGTCCCCACAGGAAAAGCCAAGAGGGCAGGGGCAGGAAGCAGGCAGGGGTCAAAGAGCAAGCAACCAGGACCAGGGCTCCGGGACACAGAGTCAGGGCAGGTCTCCGTGCCCAGCACTCACCAAGCTCCCCTTGGGGCCGTGGGGACCATCCATGCCTCGGACTCCCTGAAACATGAGAGGGGCATGAGGGGGCTGGACGTGGGGCGGCCTGCAGGGCCTGTGGTTTCTCAGAGGCCCGGCCACTCCAGAGTGTGGGCGGGCAGACCTCTAGTCCATCCCAGACCAAGGCAAACAGCAGGCCCAGATCCGTAGGGCGTGGGGCTGTGGGTCTCTGGCCTTGTGGGGTTTTGCTTTGTTTTTCTTGAGGGTTTTTTTTGTTTTGGCTCTGCTCAGAGTCCTTGGTGCACTGCACCACACGACCCTCCCAGGGCATCCAGGGGTGAAGGCTAAAACAGGGCTGTGGAGAGTAGGGGAGCTCATGGGAGGAGGAGAGGTCAAAGTCGGGGCTGCAAGTCAGGGAGCCACTTACCGGAGGCCCAGGAATACCAGGAGGGCCTTTGGGGCCAAGGAGGCCTCGAGGTCCCTGCATTTGGGGTGACAACATGAATGGGTTAGAGAAAATGTGTGCTGTTAGCGGCCACGTCCCTCCCCTGCCTCCCCCACCCTGCCCTGACCCCTCAGACACTCACCGACTCTCCAGGCAGCCCCCGAGGCCCGATCTCCCCGTCGTCGCCCTGGAGGAGGAGCCCGTGGTGAAGCAGCCTCGCCTGCCAGGCCTCTCCTGCACCCAGCCCCAGCCCTGCCACAGCTTACCCGCTCTCCATCCTCACCGGGGGGCCCGGGAAGGCCCTGGGCACCATTGTCACCCTGAAAAGTGGGGCACAGGTGAGAAGAGCCGCAGAGGCCCCAGCAGAGGTGGCACTGGCCCTCGCTGATTTGCCAACTGGGACGGCCAGATGCTGGTGGGCTTCTCCCGCCCTCCCTCCACAGAAGAACCCCCACAGCCCCCACCCCGTGTACTCACCCTATGTCCCTTCTCCCCAGGTAAGCCTGGGAGTCCATCGAAACCTCGGTCACCCTGGGGGAAGGGGAGCAGCCAGAGTGAGCCCCAGCCTTTCCCACCCACCGCTCCCCGTTGTGTCCTGAGCGGGGAGGGGACTCTGGGAATGCCATCATCCCCAGAACATGGGTGAGCCCAGATGGGGCTGGGAGCTGCAGGCATCAGCCAGGGGCCCAAGCTGCCTACCTTCACCCCAGGCTCTCCTGGCATCCCTCGGGCTCCGTCGGCACCCGCTCGGCCCTGCAGGGGAAGGGTAGAGTCAGCAAGCGGGCCACAGTCCTCCCCGCTCCACCACCACCTCAGCCCTGGGCACTCACCCTTCGCCCAGCCTTGCCCGGAGGGCCTGTGAGGCCCTGAGGTCCTCTGGGGCCCTAGTGAGGAGAGAGGCAGGCAGTGAATGGGCACAGAGAGCAGCGGAGGCCCTGGGCTGGGGAGTCAGACATAGGGCCGAGGGGACAGTCACCTGAGGGCCGAGGTCTCCAGATTCTCCCTTCAGGCCAGGGCTACCAGGTTGTCCCTGTGAGAGAGAAGAGGACAGTCATGCTGAAAGACACGCCCAACGGGGACCTCAAAGCCCTCCCCCAAAGGAGCAAGACAGCTTTCGATCTGTTTCCTTTCCAGAACTGTCCATCCCCCCATGTGTGAGTACAGGCTCCTCCACTCCAATACCCCACACACTCACCAAGGGTCCAGGGCGGCCTGTGTATCCCATGGGGCCAGGGGGTCCACGCAGCGCCAGCTAGGGAGCCGGGGAGATGGCAGAGCTGAGGGAGAGCCAGCAACTCCCAACCCCCACACACTCCAGATGTGCCCTTCCACTCCAAATCCTCCTGCTGCACTGCCCACCGCTCTCCCCAGTCCTCTCAGCCTAATCCAACCCAGATCGTCCACGTTCCATCCACTTCGATCTACCCCCCTCCAGCCCCTTCCCAGGACCGTCCCTCTCCCACCAGCACCTCCCTCCACCAGGGTC